AGCAGGGAAGCTGATCCTTTTCCCTTGCCAGGAAACGCAAGGTTGTTTTGCTCCAGGCAGATGATATGGAGATTTAGAAGAAAGTGTGGAGAATGGATCACACTGAACGGTAGCAATTCCCAATAACCCTGAAATATAGCTTCTGTGTTCTGTGTCATGGGCTTTAGGACAGGAGTGCCCCATATAATGCCTCTACAAAAACTAAGATAGCTTTAAGCAGAGTGGGATTCGTAGTGCTCAGGCAGCTTCTGCATCTATGAAATGACCAGAATTGATCATAGCCAACTAAGGGGAAATTGGTTGAGCCCTATCCATAGTACATAACTGTGTCTGTAATTGGAAACATTGGAGGATCCACATGTCCTGAATCAGGTTTTCCTCAATCTGGGGGTTAGTTCCAAAGCATAGTGTCTAGTGGTGTCCCAATTGTCCCCACCTCATATATCCTGGGCTCACTTGTTTCCTGATTCCTTGCTGTCAAGGTCCATGATGGGCAAAAGGTGAGGGCATGTCTTGGTGCGCTTCAATACAAGCTTAAGTTATTGCACAATTGCTATTCTGGATTAAACATTGGTGGCCCAGATCAACCGTCATAGGTTCTTGGTTTGGGTCCTGGGGTTTTCAGCTTGGACATAGGTGAGGTTGCATGTTGGTACTTCTGTATTCTTTTTGGTTACACAGCTAGTTGTTGATATGGAGAGAGAGAGAGAGAGAGAGACACAGAGAGATCAGTAAAAGCATCTACACTGTTCAAGATTCTGATGTATTCTAGTTTATCCTTTCTATTTGGGCTATTTTGTTCCACTTAACATTGTCTGCAATTTGCAGGAATTGGGCAGCACATGAAGCAACTGGACCTCACCCTTTCTGGAGATTTAGTAGCACATAGTTACCAAAAGTTGCATAGAACTTTCACAGGAGTCATTCTGGTCATTTAATGCTGTCCTGCTCCAGCGTAGGGGAGGACCAATGTGATCCTTTTCCACTATGAAACTGATTGCTAAACTCACACGATATGTTCAGGCAGATACATTCAAGGGCAGAGCAGGAAAAGGAGATGGGATTTGTTCTGGACCACAGAACTTTTTGGAGGTTTCCATGAAAATGTATAGATAGTGGTACTACAGGACCCAGTTCAGAGGGCAGTGTTCCAAAATGAGACTTGATCACAGACTTTTGAGATCATGAAAGCTGGTTGCAGAGTGCCTTAGTTTCTGCTTGGGACCACACCACTTGGGACTACAGCAATGGCTTTCGTCTTGGAGCTGAGTAATCTGCTCCTGCAGCTCCAATAACTCAGGAGATGCAGTGGGTGACAGTAGGCAGGGTGCAGACTGTGAAGAACTTCAAAAGGATCTCCCAAAACTGGGGAACTGGGGAACAAAATGGCAAATGAAATTTTAATGTTGATAAATGCAAAGTGTAATGTTCATTGGAAAAAATAATCTCAACTGTACCTACAAAATGATGGGGACTAATTTAGCTACAACTACTCAAGAGAGATCTTGGAGTCATTGTGGATAGTTCTCTGAAAACATCTACTCAGTGTGTAACAGCAGTCAAAAAAGCAAACAATGTTGGGAATCATTAAAAAAGGGATCAAGAATAAGACAGAGAATATTTTACAGTCACTATATAAATCCATGTGTACACCTGCATCTTGAATGCTCTGTACAGATGTGGTTGCTTCATCTCAAAAAAGATATATTGGCACTGGAAAAGGTTCAGTGATTGGGGATTTGGAATGGGTCCCATATTAAGAGAGCTTAAAAAGACTGGGACTTTTCATCTTAGAAAAGAGGAGACTAAGAGGGGATATGATAGAGATCTATAAAATCATGACTGGTGTGGAAAAAGTGAACGAGGAAAAGTTATTTACCTGTTCCCCTAACATAAGAACAAGGGGGTCACCAAATGAAATTAATAGGTAGTAGGTTTAAAAAGAACAAAGGAAGTTTTTCTTCACACAGCGCACGGTCAGCCTGTGGAACTCCTTGCCAGAGGAGGTTGTGAAGACCAGGACTTTACTAGGGTTCAAGAAAGAGCTAGATGAATTCATGGAGGTTAGGTCTATCAACGGCTATTAGCTAGGTTGGGTAGGAATGGTGTCCCTAGCTTCTGTCAGAGGCTGGGAATTGGTGATGTGAGCAGGATTGCTTGAAGACTCCCTCTTCTGTTCACTCCCTCTGGAGCATCTGGCATTAGCTATTGTCAGCAGACAGGATACTGGGCTAGATGGACCTCTGACCCAGTATGGCTGTTTTTATGTCATTCTTTCCCTTTGGTCAGTATTTTCTATAGCACCTATTCTCTACACTAGATAATTTCATGGATGTTAGGTCCATAAAAAGCTATTAGACAGGGGATAGAAATGGTGTCCCTGGCCTCTGTTTGTCAGAGGCTGGAGATGGATGGCAGGAGACAAATCACTTGATCATTGTCTTCGGTCCACCCTCTCTGGGGCACTTGGTGCTGGCCACTGTTGGCAGACAGACTACTGGGCTAGATGGACCTTTGGTTTGACTCAGTACAGCTGTTCTTATGTACACTGCCCCCCCGGATATAGCTGTGCATGGCAGTCCTGGGTTCTAGCCTAACGGATCCTTGTGCTTCCAAAGTCTAATTCAGCAATGTGCAGAAGTCACGAGATATGTCCCACACTTGAAGCAGAGATTTAATTCCCATGTAGCTTTTGATGCTGTTGCTTTTGTGTATAACTACTTGGACTGGCAAAGTGTACTGGACAGTTGTATAATGTGTAACCCTACTATAAGAAGATCTCTATTTAACAGCAGTCTCTGAAAGGATATTGGCAAGCTTACAGCCCACATGTATTTTTAGTGGTTTTATTATTTCCTGACAATTTTGCAGCAACAAAACTTGCTAAGTCAACGCAGAAGGAGTTTTGTCAGAGGAGAAATAAGCAGGAAATGAGGAGCTTCCGGTGTCAGAGGCAGCCACTAGAAAAACTGGAAGGGTAGTTTTTCAGAAAACAGCTGCTTTACAAAACTGGAAACCTGGAGAATGAAACTAAAGAGAGATTAGGTAATTTAATGAGGAGCAGAAGAGAAATTTAGAATGGATCTACTGAATGTGCTTAGGAAGGGAATTAGACCTGAAATGCAGTCCCAGTTAAAGACCAGGAGGCAATCAAGGAGGGGTTAAAGAGATCAGATCAGGTAAGTCAGTTGTTATAGGAGGAATAGGTAAATCACTAAACATAATTAATCACTCATAGCTCCATGCTTTTTTAATGTACTATCATGTGTTGAGAGAGTGGGCAGAATTATGTCACACAGGGGAGAGCTCTGGCAACACTATTTCTCAAGGAAGTACAGTGCCTGAAGAAGTTTCCCTGTGATAGGATGCTCGTAGTTGACCTCTCCATGAGTGATTGGAAAACAAAA